ATATGAAGATACTAAAGTTAAAATACAGCCTCAACTGTTGAGCCATTTGCTTTAGAGAGCGCTGAAATACCGTTGATGTGAAAGCTCCAGTTCAATGTTTCCTGCGTCTGGAGCCGACAGCGAGAGGTTTCCACTCAATCCTTCGTCTGCAGTGCTCGATGACTTCGAGCTTCAAGCCCCGTGAGGTCATTTGATTTCTGCATTTCATGAACACAAACGGCTTCTGAGAAGAAAGGTTCAAGAAATTATGACTGCAATTACTTTCTATTTTTTTTCGGGTAGAAAATAACTTAACGGGTCTCTTCTGGCCTGTATGCCTGTCAGGTCACGCTGAACACAACACGCGTGTGGCTGAGGAGTGTCATCGCTGACATGCATCAGAGCAACTGTCAAGAAAGATGAATATGTAACGTTGCACTTTCCAAGAAGACGTGGAGTGTTTGTGAAAAAGTTTGTGTAGTTTGAGGACCGACACGCTGTGATGAAGACGTCACGGTGCGCAGATCGATTCTGAATTATTCAAACGTCTGTTCAAATGTCGATACTCATGTTGAAGCTTCGTTGTTAAACTCCTCACTGATTTGGGGTAAAGGTGATTTTTTCTCCGTCAGAGTAAAGAGTGATTTCACAATGAACACGATCTATTAGCCACCGGTAGGTTGGGGCTAATGGATCGTGTTTGGAAACACAAACCTGATTATACATTTCAAATGCAATCTCAATTCAGAATATGATGAGGTCAAGCAGTGATCGACTTTAGAGGAGGAGAAAGAGCCTCAGCTAGACTTCACCCTCTCACTCACTTTCAGTTCATAATGGTTTTTAATTAAAGAAAAAGAAAGAGTTGTTTATGTCTAAGTTTCAGTACGTAGCAATAACCTGAAACTTTTTATTTTCCACAGTAAACTTTTGCACAAAGAGCATGATCGTTATCACCCTTTATTTTATTAAGTACCTGAAAGAAAAGTGGTGGTGTTGCTCATCTGTAGTTTCAAGGATAAATGTGCTCAAGAAGAATAAACAACATTTGGCAGCGTTTCGGTTCTGCAGGTGGTTTTTGCGGTGAGGGAGCTAATGGCTGAAAAGCACCAGAGGGAGAGTTCGTGAGCTGCTACGAGTTTGACAAACTCCTCCAACAACTTCATTTGCATGAGCACCAGGAAAAGCACAGGACCAGACAAGAAAAGGTAAATAAAAGGAGCCACGGACTTTTTCTGAAGACTTGATTCTACTTAAGACTGAAAAACAAGCCGCAAGCTGCAGAAGCATCACTATCATCTGACATCAGACACCACAGAGAACTGAGAAAACAACACTTCACAGAGGTTTGTGATATCTTCAGTTATTCAGCATAACCCTCCTCCGTTTGTCTGCTCATCTGTTGCTAGGCACTGTCTGGAGAGAATACACAGTACATGCTGTTCAAGTACTTTTATCGAACATCAAGTGAATTTTGTTTGATGTATACATGATATAATATGTATTTTGGTGCATATTCTATTAATGTTTGAAGAGATGTTCCTAAATTCTAAAAACTAAGCTCATTGCTAAGCTTTGGTTTTGGTGTATCGTTGTTTTGTCAGTGGAACAGCTGATGGTGTGATAAAGTATTAAAGGTGCTTTACACTTATTCTGTTGATGTCACAGCCATTTGATTTAATTTGAGTTAACTCAGTCTCATCTGTATATTTGTAATTCAGTCATGAAATAAGATATAGGGCAGGTTTAATACCATTTCTTTAAAGTGGAACTAAAGGGACATGCTACAGCTTTTTGAAAGAAATGTATTTAAATGCAAGTCATAGATGGTATTTTGTCTCGTTGTAATTAAAAGTTTATCCTTGGGCGTTGGTCTTATTTGTCACACTGAGCAAAACAAGGACACAAATGCAGACTTCACTCGAGGACAGATCCAAAATATTGTCTTCACTAAGACGGAACAGGTTCTGAACATGGAGAGGCAGAGTTATCCAAACACAGAGGCACGAAGGCAATGTTCAAAAACCGAGGTCGGTCAAGAACACGAGGAAAGTGTTGACAGTGATCTGTCGAGACAAACTGGCATCGAGGTCATGGAAACACAGGGATCAAATACACAAACAGAGCACTGGCTTTTGTTTTTGTGTGTTTTGAGCTCTGCACCACTTCCTCCTTTGTGATGTTGAAAAATACTACATTGTTGTATTTGTGCTGATCTTTTGGTTTCATTGCTCCTGGTGATGGAGAAGGAGAAACCCCGGGCTCTGGTCTCAGAGGAGGAGATCGACCAAAGTTTTCTCGCTAAACTCATTGAGGTGTTGAAGCAGCACTTTCAAATCGTCTCCAGAAGAGAGTTTCTACACAACCCTCGGCTGCATGGTCCTAAAAATCCAGGCCGTGTTTGTGTGGAGCAGAATTGCAGCTGACCGCTCCCTGATCAGTTCGCTCCCCTCTCTGAAGGTGGTGTCCAATGGAGGAGCAGGCACTGACCACCTGGATGTTCCATTAATCACCAGTGGAGGGGTGAAGGTGACCAACACTCCTGGTGCGGTCAGCAGCTCCACTGCTGATGTGGCCTTGGCTCTGCTTCTGGCATCGGAGGATCGTTGAGAGGAAGGTCAAATGTCCTATTGTCCAAAACAAAGACCTGCCTAAACTTTTTCTTCAGACAAATGATGTGAGAGAGTAAATTTAAGGAGACACATTCTGCTCATATTCAGGTTCATAATTTGAATTTGTATTATTACTCTATGAAAACACAATAGTCTGTAATAAATCAAATATTTTTTTAAATGTTCTCATAGGTCTTAAAACAGCTGAAGATAAAGAGTTTACCCAGAAGCTTGAGAGGAGTCGAACTCACAGGATCCACTCTGGGAATCGTTGGAATGGGAGAGATCGGTTAAAAAAATAGCTGAGAGGAGCAAAGGATTTGATTTTCAAGATCCTGTATCACAACAGGACCAGAAGGTCAAAGTCCCCTGCTCAGTGGAAATAATACATAACTCACAGTGAAGGGTGTTGTTAAGATGGACAGAGATATAACAGCTGGGATTTCTCAAAGCAACTGAAAACAAACACAATGTCCAGAACTTCCTGTTACATCTGTGCCAGAAGGTAACGATGAGGAACTACATTCACAAACCAACAGGAAGTGTGAATCCCACTTCTCATAATTGCAATTAGACTAAATTCCACCAAGTTAAAAATCCGTTGAGCTTCTAGATAAACAATCAGACAGGTTTTCAAACGTGGTGGAGGAAAAGAAGAAGAGCGTTGAAGTGAGGAACCAGTGTGACAGTGTCTCTGCTCACTCTCGTTCAGGAGTGCAGAAGCTGAGCAGGCGGTGGGAGCGGCTCACTGCCGGAGGCTGGACGACCTGCAGAGGTCGGACTTTGTCGACTTTTGGCGCTCCAGTCTGGAAGGATGACTGACTCATCCTGAACCTTTACCGAGGTCTCACCCCAGAATCTCTTTGTCATAAAAACAGAGCATTAATTAATTACATGAACTGTCTTCTGCTCCTTCGGCAGGCGGTGGGGGGTGATTGCCTGACCTGCGTTAATCCGACTTCAACCTTTCTGAGAATCCTAAATTCCTGAAACGAGATAGTCACGTCCTCTGCAACAGCGTCCATCACCTGAAACGCTTGGTGTAAAATTTCTTGATATTTTCCTGCACTTGTTTAACCAGTATGATGGCAGGAAAACCTCACTAATGCAATTTGTATATTCATTAGTCTTTATTTAACAAGGATTAAAAACATAAAACATTAATCTCAAAATGAGAAGAGATTATTTATCTGATTTATGATTTATATCAGGACAATATACACGTCAACACATACCGGCACATTCATTCAATACATCGGCTGAATTAAAAATCGGAATCACTTATGTTGCATATTGTGATTGAGTCTTTAAAATGAATGTTCAGATAGTAAATGAGACAGTTTCCTTCATCAGTGATTTCACTACATTAAAAGATTAATCGCTTTCATCTTTCCTTTCATTTGCATTCAGCGCTCGTCTCGTCCCGTGTCATGTTCCACTTTAATCTCTGATATACATGATGATCTCACTAATGTTAACACAAAGGTATCACAGTCATGGCTCCTGTTTCAGTGTAAAACACGGAGAGTTTTACCGGGAGCGTGCTTTTGATAGAACCGATGAGAAAAGAGGTTTAAGCGTTTTATTTTGCTTTGGACGATAATAACTGTGAAAAAAATTAAAAATAAAATGAAGCCGAGCATGAAGAGAAACGTTCTTAACCGTGAAATAGTTGTTTGACAAAGCGATCCCAGCTCGAGGGTCAATTATTACCTCTATAGATTAACATTAGAGTGATTTCACAGAAGAATAAAACAATAAGAAGGTATTTAAAAGAAACCCTGTGTGTTAGAAAATGTGTTTACACAAAAATATTATCTTTTCTTTCTTTCCAATTACATTTTCGCTGGAGTGACACCCACGAAGTGTCTGCTCTGTTTTTTAGAGATATACGTTCCACAGACGGACGGACAGAGATATCTGAAGTTATTTCATCTCCACTTCCCATACTGAGAATATTACACCGTCATTTTAAGAATAATGAGCTGCTTCAGAATTATCCCTTGTCATTAGCGAGTCGTCTCTTTTTATTGTTTGTGTGCGGAGGTTTTTAGAAACAGTCAGTGGTGAAGTCAGACAACTGTGTTCATCCTACCTGGTTTATCTGCACTGAAGATTTTAGAGTTTTTCACAAAATGAAACTGACTTTGCCTCATTACTGTTCTTGTGTGGTTTATATATAAGTATTTACTGAACTGCTAGTATTTCAGAGGTCTGTCGGATGCAATTTCAAAAGAAAGGCTCTGTGATTGAGCTTTACATAAAGCGTTACAGCAAAAAAAAAAAGAATGTTATATGCTTTTATTTATTCAAATTGCTAAAGAGGAGGCATTTAAAAGAATGTTGTTGCCATGACAGGGGATGATGTCACCTGTGACGGGCTGCCAGCACGACATGACACCACTGACTGCAAGACGCTGTTAACCTGACAAGTGTGAAGCCGACGAGATGAAAGGTTCTCGAGATGTGTGAGTTACAGGGAAAATAAAAAATGTGTTTATGATTTTTAAAAAAGGATTCAGCTGCACTTGTTTGTTTCATCTGTTTCTGATATTATGGAAGTTCAATAGTTGTACAGTGGCTCGGGAAATCTAAATATTGAAATAGGAAAAAGATTTTTTAAGCTGCGCTGTTTGTACAGAGATCTTTTTCTGACTGGATCATCCTGAGAGGCGTTGGAACCAATGATTGATTTGCTGCATTAATCTACAGAGTTCAAGCTGCAGGACTCTGACTCCAGGATCTGAGTCTAAGTTAGTGTTCAGCCTCCAAAGCAGTCTGTCACAGTTTCACTGCATAACCACGTTGTGTCTCAGGCTTCAAGGCTCCGCAGACTGTTTCTGCCGTGAATCCAAAAATACTTGATTGTTCATCTCACAATCTCTAATATTCTTTTTTATTTTATCAATTTCATCTTATTGCTAAATCTCCTCCATTTTTAATAACTGCAACAAAAGTGTGTGGGTGTTGGGAGAGGTCTTAGTGCAGAGCCTGCGAAACAGTGTTTGTGAATAATACACCAAGCACAACAATCAGCGCACCCCGGAGCGGTTTTCACATTAACTCTCGTTCATCCAAGTAAAACATCGGTCAAAGGTTTTATTTAAATTGAAAGGTCACCTCCTCAGCTTCTACCTGATCCTTCTGACCACGGAGAAGAAGTGAAGCTCGAGCTTTTCTTCAGTCGGATAATACCATACTGTCTCTTTTTTAAGGAAGGTGATGGAGGAGGACAAACCGTGGGCGTTGGTCTCAGAGGTCGGGGGTGACGTTGGATACCTGGAGGAGCTCGCAGACATCTTGAAACAACACTTCCGACTCGTCTGCCATCGAGAGCTTCTAGAAAACCCAGCTCTCCATGGCCCCAGAATCCAGGTGCTGTTTATTTGGAAGTATTTCCCTGCAGCCGAGCCTTCGCTGCTCAGATTGCTTCCGTCCCTCAAAGTGGTCGCCAGCGGAGGAGTGGGCACCGACCACCTGGACCTGCCGTTCATTAGCGGCCGAGGGGTGATAGTGGCCAACACGCCGGGTGTGGTCAGCGACGGCACGGCAGATCTCGCCATGGGTCTGCTTCTGGCGTCAGCTCGCAAGATCCTCGAGGGTGAGTTCGAGCAACTGACCAACGTTAGGGAAGTTTGATGGTGGCCCGGCTATGACCACGATATGTTGTATGCTAATTACAGTATTTTGTATTAATTAATTATGAAACTACTGTAAAACCTGAGGGTTATTTTCTGTAAAATTTGCCTTTTTGAATTATTTAATAATCTAATTTTACAGTAGCGTTATCAAAGTATTATTATTTGGTATAATGATGTTATCGTTTTGTCTGTAGATGATTTATTTTTGTAAAAACTAAAAACAAAACCCATTTTTTCCTTCACAGGTCATCAAATATCTATTGACCCAAAGACGGTCCATATGCCGCAAAGCCTGATGGGATTTGAAGTCACCGGGTCGACTCTGGGGATTATTGGAATGGGAGACATCGGATACAGGATCGCCCGAAGAAGCTGTGGATTTCAAATGAAGATCCTCTACCACAACAGGACCAGAAGGTATTTTATCATGTGATACATATATAAATACACATTATGCTACACACAGAAAAACGCACTCTGTGTATTTTATTCTGTTCAGGAGTGAAGAGGATGAGCAGGCGGTTAAAGCCGGTTACTGCGAGCGGCTGGACGACCTGCTGACGAGGTCGGACTTCGTCATGATAGCCGTCAAACTGACCTCGGACACGGTCGGTCTGATCGGCCGCAGAGAGCTGTCCCTCATGAGACCCACTGCGACGCTGGTCAACATCAGCAGAGGTAAGAATGACGTGGTACGGTGGCGGAGACGTCTCACACAAGTGAAAACACAAATGCGAAAGAAACAATTCTCAGTATGGATCTTGATTCATGATCGATGGTTAAAAATATCCCTGTTCGTGTCTCAGGTGAGGTCGTGGACCAGGATGCTTTGGTGGAAGCGCTCGGCTCGGGAACGATTCGTGCTGCGGCTTTAGACGTGACTCATCCTGAACCTTTGCCGAGGTCTCGTCTCTCGGAATAGAATCATGTTGTACTGTAATATTCTACTAATGGCATCGCTCCTCGCTCACCTCCTCTGCTTCTATCCTGTGCAGAGATCACCCACTCCTCCGTCTGCCCAACGCGCTGATCACCCCCCACATCGGGATCAATACAAACAGCACAGCCAGGAGGATTGTGGGCAAGATGGCGGAGAACGCCCTGGCTGCACTGAAAGGATTACCTGTCCCCGATGAAGTCAGGCCACAGTGAACAAGCTCGTTCAGCAGAATCTGTTCGTTCCGTCTGTGGAACACGGTCGACCTCGTCATAACAATAAAATGTTGGAAGTGGACACAAGTCAAAAGTTTATTTCAAGTATGAAAGTCGAGGAAAAAGCACATTGAAAATAACCAGTGTTGAGCAAAGTGCAAGAAGAAAGTAAAAAATAAAAACAGTTAGTATCATTGTACCGATGGTTAAAATACAGGAAATAATCAGTTTTGATCGGGATCTTTAATCGTTATTCCTGAAGCTGTGTTTGATTCTAGATCTTGCAAAATGATTTGTCCCAGAAAAAACTGATTAAAACTTCTCTGTCTTTCTAAAATCATCTGTAATATCAGAACCTCCGCAGATGAATAACTGAATATATCTGCGAGAGGACGGTCAGGGTGGTGTAAATTAAATACTGCAAAACTGAATGAAACTAAATGTGGGAAAGGATGAATTTACTTTATAAATATTGAGCTGAAACTAGTCCTGCACTGTGTATTCACCTCATTCATTTTATATTTTCTGAACCACATATTTTCTCAATGCCGTTACACTCGTTTTAAAATCATCAGCCTGCACTTCATTCACTGGAAATAAGATGTGTGATTTACATGGACACAGAGCGCCGTGTGTTCCTGCCTCCGAGCGGCTCAGAGTTTATCCGTATGCTGAGATTACAGCGGAGAGTTGAAGGTCGTGTTCTGAACGCGTGGCCCTCGCTGCACTGAGCCCAAACGAGGCTCTTGGGGCTCACGTTTGTGAGTGAATGTGGCAATGAGGACGGACAACAGCACGGCCGCTGCCACTCACGCTGTATCTATGATCGTATTTTAGAAAGGGCACGCTGTCTGGAAATGAAGGGCACCCTTTCAGCAGGCGGCCGTCCCAGAAGCCCACAAAGCGGCTGACTGCGGCCGGCCGCTTCCCTCAAGGCTGCTCCTATAAACTGTGAAGGTGTCCCTTGTGCTGAGAGCTACATCGCTCTCAGCACAACTACATCGCTCTCGCTGATGTGACCTCTCTGAAAACCAAAGGTGCCCTTGAGATCTTTTCATTACCCGAAGCCTCTGCAGTCACTTAATCACCAAGAGGTTCTTTTTTGCTTTTTTAATAAAGGCATATTTGCATCTGTCATTTGCATTCAATCGCCCCGTTAGCGAGGGGATGAAATTAAAGGGGGAGGTGGTAATTTAAAGACGGCATTTTTTAAAAAACGTATGTTGGAGTCATTGTGCAGGACGGAGCCACAGGAGCTCACGTACCTGACATCATAACACCACACTGCTCCAGCGCTTCCAGGATCCTGCTCTCCTGCTGACTTTAAAGTGTTTCACTTGTCCTGAAAGATTTCCTTCTTTCAGATTCGCAAAAAATATTTAGAATTTTCCACAACAGTCAAATAGATCAGAAAATAATAAAGGAGAATTAGATTTATTGTCATTGCACAACATATTAACCAGAAGTAGTCGGTGCATTTACACAAGTAGGACAACAATTAAAGTATTATACACAAAATAATATATTAATGTTCAAGACAGAAAACAATCATCTACACGTCTGGTTGTTGTGGAAATATAGAAGAAAAAAGAAAACGGTCTTATTATCTAAAGGATTTATTTTTCATGAACAATAAGTAAAAAACTAATGTTACATATGTTTTACTCTTTACTGTGTGTAGCTGCTCTGGAGACAAACACAAATAGTACAGCACAATAAAACATTTCATTCAATTTAACAAGTTGTGGAGCAGATTATTATAAGAAATGTAAAAATATAGAACCACACCAAACAGATTCCTTATTATTTTTATCAGATTAATTAAAAATTAATATTTGTTCATTATTTCCTGAAAATACCATTGTGAAGAAACAAATACATTTTGCATTTACTGGCAAAAGAAAAATGAGCCATAAACACAGTGGACGAGGTTGAACCGTCCTCTGACTCACCTGTACCTGCCTGTAAACCTCCATCTTCCCCTCAGACACAAACACATGAAGAAAAATGACCTGAGATATGAACTCTGTTATTTTTCTGCCTTTTAATAAATACATCCCGAGCTTTCATCTCCACTCTGAAGCAGCGGAGCCTTGTTCAACCTCTTATTCCGTCCCTATTTATTATGCGTCTCTTTTGATGGAGAACCATACATTTCCATATCCTTAGCAGACTGCTCGGTTCACTAATGGCCTTGTCTTCAATCTGCAGACATACTGTACACGTGGACCGGAAATTCTAAAGGATTTCATTTGCAATTCCCCACTGCTAAAACCCTGCTGAGCTGACACAGTTTCTCCGTTTCGCTAATGAAAAGAAGGAACGGAATAAAGACCTACAGGGATTTGAAATTCTAACAGGATCTCAGGACGGTATGTAAAAATATCACAGGATCCAAAAGTTGTCTTTTGTGAATCTAATTAGATTAAACCGTCGCTTTAAATCTATTATATTAAAATCACAAAGCAAAAGGTGATGAAAATTATACAATTATGTGTAATAATGTATTCAGCAGTAGTTATTAAAAGATGTCATATTCAAACTCTTCTAGTCTATCTCTCTCCCAGATCATGAATTACTGTGTGGTAATTATAGGATCTCCTATTTCTGCTAATAAGACTATTTATAGTGTTGAAAGTGCCAATCATTTTCACCGAATAAAGCTGGAGTCTATTCATTAGTACAGCGGGGCACATTTGATCCATCTGTGAATTTATTTTTTCCAAGATTTTTATCCTCCAGTGAGAACGACATCAAAGACTCCGGTTGGACATGGAGGAACTTTAAAAGATCTCAGAAAAATCCAATATGGAGCGATTATAAACGATGGAAATATATTTAGATTTCAAAAGAGGACACTTTACATCGAGTAAATAATAGATGAAGAGATTTATTTGCTGTATTTGGGAGGGGGGAGGAGGGGGGGGGCTTGTGCGGCATGTCCACATCTTGGTCAGTTAATGACGGAAGTGAAAGAACTCACGTTGTTTCTGAATCCTTTTACTTCTTTTTGTGTTTTCACTCTCCCCTCGTCTGGAGCTGCACTTCAGACGCTCAGACACAAACATCAGGTGTGAAAGGTTCCTCAGACACGGTCAGGACCGAACGTAGTCCGATCAAAGATAAACGGTCTGGGTCTGAATCACACGGAGTCACTGAGAATGGAACAAGTTTTTTTATTTTAACAGCATAACAAAAACCACTGACTAAAATAACCTCAAGAGAGACGAGGGATCGAAAAAACCTAACTTTTATTTGAACTAAATCAAACAAGAAGAAGAAACCAAATAAATTCTGTCAGTGAATCAGGGCTGTTAGCATGTGGTCGGCACAATCTATCTTTTATTAAGTTTTTACAGTTTAAGAAAAGATTAGTCAGACATGAGGTAGACAAGAGAATAGAAATATAAAAGAATTCAAAAGAATAAAGAATCTCATAAGAATACAGAATTTGTACATAATATACACCTTTCACTTCAGAAACACATTGTTTGTATATAAAAGAAGTATTTCGGTGAAGTGCAGTGGCACAGGATGATTGAAGGAGAATGTAAAAGTGTAAATAATGTGATATTGAGATAGGAAAACACATAAAATATGATATGCAGCACAGATAATGTGCAGAGGATTCAAATGTAGAAACTACGATAATTAAACATGTAACTTGTACTTTGCTAAAGGTAAGAAGTCACTTCACCACATATTTATACCCTGACCTGACTACTTTCTTTGATTATAAAGTAAAAAATATAAATTCTACGTTACTTCAGAGAATAACAATTCTATAAACTGCTGATCTTCAACATGCTCCGTGCACCTCAGTGTTTCCTGGAGGCAGACTTGCTGTTGTGCGGTTACAGGTCGCAGAATCTGATGGGTCACAGAACGCTGTGTAACGCCGGCGGGCAAGAGCACTCATCCGTCTCAAGTTATCAAAAAATGACCATGTTCTTACTTTAACATGTTGAATGGCTGATGAATATTTAAACAACGGACTTGTCGTTCCCCCGTGAGCAACACAAATGTGGCATCTTGCAGAAGTTTCCGTGACTTCGGAAGAGTTTCCCTTTATTTAAATATTTAAGTTTTGCCACGCTGACCTTTTCAAAATATGGTGGACAAATGGATCCCATGACTAATTGGGTCCTTGTTAATAACGACAGAGAATTTTCACCCGACTGCAGCTTTGTAGCATCTTTCAGCTGTTTTGGTTTTTTCACCACTTAACTTTAGTTTGTTCGCAGCTTTAATCTGCATCATTTCCAGCCTCAGCAGGCAACAGCTTCCTTCAGAGAATTTCCCAAAACCCACTGTGCACTGAACCAAACTGCAGACAGACAGTGAACAGATACTGTAGTTAGTGAACATTTCCTGCGGAGTTGATGGAGACTTAGACAGAGATAAAGGAAGAGTGAACATTCAGAGACACGACTCCAAACAAATTAATTATAAAAACCTGCCGTGCACATTACAGGTCTCAGCTCACATTGTGTTTAGATGATGAAAGTACTCGGCCGAGGTTCTGGACATTATTGTTTGAGAAGCTATTTGCTTCAGGTTTAGAAACGATCGTCTTCGTGATTTAAACAAGACTGAGGACTCTTACGGCCTCCGAGCACTTCATGCTTCCTGCAGAATGGTGCGTCACACTTGTGCTACAGGTGCTTCTGGGTATTTTCTGGCCAGACTCACCATCAGCACTTTTGGCATCAAAACAAGATAACGTATATTACAGCTGGTTTCATGCATCTCAGTCTTTAAAACTCAGGACTCAACCCATCGGGAGGAAGTGACACTTTGGGAATTCTCTGGAGAGACTTCCTCGGTGGATATTTGTTGTTTTGGATGCACCGAGCTTCATATATGAAGAAAGCAGCTCTGAGATCAGATGATGAGCAGACTCTTTACAGCTGCAGACTTCATGAATTCTATGCTTACAGTGCTAATGATGATATGTGTCACCACAATGATCCATACAATAACCATCTGCTGTTAAATAGACACTGGGGGGGGGTCTGACAGAAACCGGTCCTGAGGGAGTTTCTGCTGATCCGTGATTCCTCCCGAGACTGGAAACTATTTTCAACGTGTCAGTCTCCAACATGCATGTCAATGCTCGTCAACGCAGTAATCTTGACGTGCACATGTACGCTTCTGTGGTCCGTTTTCCAACCAACTGTATTTTGTGATCGACTCTGAACAGCGCAGTGCATCCCTCCAATCAGAGACTGCAGGTGGAGCAGATAACTGCTTCCTTCCGGCGGCTGTGAAGAGTCGCCA